CCAAGACGTGGACAGGTCCTACACGAACGAGCTGCGGATTTTTGCGTTTCGCTCCCCGGATTCACTCCCATTCGAACTCTTCAGTTTCGCTTGGTATGCGGAACACTGGAGTGTTGCCGCGCATGAGACCTTAAGTAACCGTCAAAGCGAACATTCACTCCATACACTGTGCCTGACAGTTTTCATCTAGGTTCACATAAAATGTATTCTCCCAACTGCACCTAGGGTGATTGCAATGGTAACAAAAATCGTTAAAGTATTGGTAGAATCTTCTAGGTAGCCTAGCCGGACTGGTTAGCTAGGTCACACGGCATTCATTAGGCATTTTTCTAAACAGACGGAGATTCTAAGGCCGCAGTTCTCGAAGTTGGTGCAGTGCCTAAGACTGGAGCAGGTAACCCTTTAGGTTTGGGTTAGGGTACTCATCCTGTTCACTGCTAAACAACATGTGCTTCCCCACCGCATCTTCCTCAGTCAAACGAATAGGGCTAATAGACTCGCCGAAGGGAGTAAGAAGCAAATATACCCTGGGATTTTGCACATAGGATGAGGAACAAGGGGATCAATAATACCGATACGGCGCTGACAAGCAAATAAATGTGACCAGTAAAGTTATGTGATCATGGTTTCGGAGACCGTGTTTACACTGTTAAGGCAGGGAGACATAACTTTGGAGATCAACCTCGAAATTTGCAAAGAAGCAATGTGCTGCTGTTGGAGTAAGTATTGGATTTTGTGACAAAAATTGCGAGCCGTCTGGATTTGCTTGAGGATGAAGTATTATATACTGGGGATGATAGGTCACAAACGGGGGACTGTTTGTGTAATGATACTGCTAACTGGGTGTAGGTTAAAAAGTGGTAAAAGGGCTTCAGCAGTGCGCTGGTACGTCCTACCGAGGCTTCAATTTTATGTGCCTAGCATTATTCGAGTGAGGTATGGAGACACCGAGTTCGCTAACACATGCGCTTTCCCCCGCACCTCGGCAACGGCCTTCGTAACCAGATCGCGCCATGTACGCCGTTCAACCGTCTTCGATTCCCATGACCTGTAATCAAGATTAGAATGTGAGAGGCTCACTTCGATCATGTCCTGGTAACGTAAGTTTGGGTTCCCCACATGCCGCTTCCCAGCACAGCTGACCATATATTAGTTGTTTCGGTATCCGCCTCGAATCCACACGGCTCACATGACCGAGCCACCTCAGGTGTCGCAGTAAAAGTATGTAGTCCACTGCATACATTCCACTTCGGCACAACACCTCGTGTCTGTAACTCTATCACCCAATCCGATGGGCCGAATCCATCGCAGAAACTGTTGGTGGAAGCGCTCGGGAAATCGCACATCCCGCCGGTACATCATCCACGTTTCGCTGCCGTATAGAAGAACGGACCGTACCATGGATTTGCACAACATCAGCTTCGTGCCAATGGTAAGCTGATGGTTGTTCCACAATCGGTACTCTAGCTTCCCGAATGCAACCGCTGCCTTCGAGACGCGGATACGAAACTCACTGTGTAGCTGCTGGTCAGTCAACATCACACTCCCAAGGCAGCAGAAGCGGGAGGTGTTTTCTAATACTTCAACACCAATGCGGATTCGCGGCAATATTGACGATTGCATCTCCGGTGAAGGCCGAAAGAGACAGGCAGTTTTGTTTGTGTTGATGGTGAGCCCGAATTTGCCCGCTGTCGAAGCCAGAGGACTAGTTATGTGCTGCAACTCATCCGCGCTGTGTGCAAATAACGCACAGTCGTCAGCAAACAGCAACACATGGATAGTTCTCACAGATTAGAGTTCTCGCACCGAAACGACGGATGTTCAGCAACCCACCATCAATACGGTGCTCCACACGAACACCGTAAGCACAAGCCGCATCAAAAGCACAAGACATCATTGCATGAAGATAAACATTAAACAAGGCAGGAGCTAAGACAGAATTGCTTCACACCAGTAACAACTGCAAAGTCATCCGAGGTCTCTCCACTCAGCTGCACTCTCGCTCGCATACCACTGTGCAGACATTCAATGAAAAGGTACAAACTTACGCGAGCAACCAAACTTACCCAACACCAGCCACAATGCCACGCGGTTCACCGTATCAAATGCCTTGGTGAAATCAACAAAAAGCGAGTACAATGGCTAATGTCGTTCTCGGCACTTCTCTTGCAACTGACGAGCCGCAAACACTGTATCTATAGTGCTGCGACCCGATCGGAATCCACATTGATTCTCTTCCACGTTAGGTTCCACAACCTGACTGACGAGGCTGTTGAGCAGTATTCGGGCAATCACCTTGCCCACACAACTCAGCAAGTTGATGCCACGATAATTCGTGCAACATTGCTTGCTCCCTTTGCCCCTGTACAGTGGTAGCACAAGGGCATCCTTTAGCTCAGCAGGCATCTCCTCCTCAATACACACGCGTTGCACCAAGTAGTGCAGCGCAGTCACCAACGCCGGTCCGCCGTGTTCCAATACTTCAGGCGGGATCCCGTCGGCACCGACACACTTGCCATTTCGTAGCTGAGTATGTGTCCTCTGCACTTAAACTAGGTCTCTTTAAGCTAGCTAACTTTCATTCCACTTTATTTGGTTTGTTCTGCCTACGTGAATGCTCTTCTATTAACTGGCCACGTTGCTTACATTAATTGCGCTTATCTTCGGTAACTCTGTTGCGTTTTGTAGCCTTTTTAACTAACTTGTGGACATTTTTTCTTTATCGCGGATTTGTTGCTAACCAACTTACTTCATATGCTTATTTAGCTTAAAGTTATGCCACCGTATCTGTATGCATTATTGTATTTGTTTTATTTCATCTTGTCGTTCCAGGTGATTGGCTGTTGCGTGATATCCCTGGTGTGGCTGCGCTTGATGTGCATGTTGACAAGGTGCCTACCTGTCTATTACCCACTACCTCGTCCATACTGGCTCCAGGAGACAGTTAGTCGTTGCTGGAGGGGACGGGGTGCACGGTCCTTGTGGCCGTGTTAGGATCAAAGAGTGGTTCCATGCACTCAGTGTGGAGCGGACTACGGTCCAGCCACCGCCTTGTGTGCGTTTGATTTCCCAAATATAGCGTGCTTGTGTTTGCCTGTGAAGGAGTGTGGGCCGGTTCCGTTGATGAAACGTGGCTCCCATCCACATGCCTCCCGGTCTTATTCCTTCGGGTTTACACTGGATATGGGGTGTGTGGTTGGAGTTGTGGGTGGTGCAGCGCAAGCCATCCATGGTCCCTCTGTAGGCGCAGGCGTCCTATGTCTGGTCACAGTGACAGGCAAATCCGAAACCGGATGCCGCCGACCAGGAGTCCTCTGCGTCTCTGCCAGTATCGGCGTGTTCGCCAGACTCGCCTTCACATTGTACTGCTTCAGGTCGTTCAAAGTAGGCCAGTCAATCTCTGAACGGTTGTTCAAGAGACAGTCAAAGTGCGTTCGTCAGATCTGCATTATATCTGCAGTCTGTGTGTAGGTAGCGTCTGAACTACCATCGGTCAGCGTCCTCAGCTGCTCCAATCTCGGTCCATACACCGGCTTCAAGGAGTCAAACAATTCCTTGTGTTGGCTGCGTTCGGCGTAGCATCCCATCTGCTTCGTTTTCTCCGTCCACCATGCATTTTTAATGCGACGAAACTCTCGGGTCAGTCGCTGTCAAAATTTGCGAAACTGACTCTTCTGCCCCAAGTCACTGGGGTCTGCGACATGTGCAGCAAATGCTGCATTCTTCTCACACACCAATGCGCCAATCGTCGCATCGGATACAGCGGTAACAGCAGACCGAACGCCCACTGTGGAGATCTAGGGAGATAAAGTATACCCTTCCAAACGTCCAAAAGGGTAATTGCGATGAAATTGCTTTTCGAGTAACCGCGTCAGTATATACAGTTAGGCGATAAATAATTATTGGATCAGTTGCCCAGGTTATGGTCATGGTGGAATTAAAATTTGCACAGGTACATGCTGTTTACACAGTTTCGGGTGTAGCTGCTTGATTCCGGTTGCTTCTGCCACGACCAATAAACGCTTTTTTAGTCCGTTTCTACTGCGCCTTGATACGGTATACACTATTTCGATAGCCTCTTTTGTTTGGATCTAATGTCCACTGTTCATTAAATATTGCAGTATGGAGTTCCTGACATTCTGGTCGTGCTACGTTGTAACGAAGCGGAGCAGTGTTCCACTGTCCGCTCTAACAGATGTCTAGTCTCGTAATCGAGGTACTTCGCACCACATGTGCAAGTGAATAGATATAGAACAAATGGTTCGGACTGGGCCAGAATACTATCTTTTAAATGGTGGGTGATATGTTGCGCGGTTTCGGCAAGAATATGTACTCTAGCGGCTGAGTACGTTTGGCACAATGCAGAAGAGAACTTCTCACTCAACAAGTCAAGAGATCTGTCCCTTTCGCAATTGCCTTTTTAACCAGTGGTGTCCCCCGAAGCTAGTGGCATTGTCCCATTAGTGAGCTCCCAGAGATGGCTCATCCGTAGTTATATCGAATCATAATATCCCCAGTAGATGCTGGAAACCGGGACTTTTGGCTATGGCTAAGCTCGTGATTGACTGCAAGTTGCACATCTAAAATTTCTCATTTGATACCTAGCCGCAATCATTGAGTCAAATTTATTGGATTCCCCTACACAGTAGTCGGCACCAGCATACCACACGTCCGCTTGCAGTTATTAAAACAGGTGTACACATGTGCTTACTTGTCAAAATACGAGTCACGGGACAGGTTGTACAAACGACGCCCCACAACAACCGTGCTTCAGCACCCCGTACACGGTTTCTGCGTTATTGATTTCGTTGAAGTCTGCGATGGCCCAGTCAGATGTGTTCCATGCAAATAACAACTGCTCCTTTGGTATACTACTTTATAAATAGGTAGAATTACGAAGATCTAGCCATGCCTAAGCAATACATCTTACGTTAGGTTCGGTCAGATACCGAGCACTGACAACCTCGATAAAAGGCGTCATGCCAGATAAGTACACTTACTGTTTGCCTCAAATTGGGTTGCTGTGTCTCATCAGATGCCAATGTCAAACTGGGCCAGTTTAGCGGGTGTGAAAGCACTCCAATATACGAGGAAGGCTGAGTCAACAAGATCCGCGACTCTGCTGGATTGTGAAACACTAGAGTGGGTTGGGCAGGTGTTGTCATAGTTCGCGCATGAACTATCGCTGGCTTACTGCTCGCACTATTGACGGAGATGGGTAAAGTGGTCCCCGATATGCAGACCGAGGAGCAATCTGGAAGGTTCATTGGGGTGACACCTTGCACAGATATTGCGGTGATTGGTGCCAGGTGTTGAATAGAGTTAGTCAAGACGCAAGTGGGTAACGATGTAGTTAAATCAGGCACCATCGTCTGCATGGAATTGGCAATGCGTAGAACACTGCTTGAAATTGTTGTAGAGGAAACCGGAGACCAAAGTGGTGTGATTGCTGATTCACCGTCTAATTGCTTAGGGTTCCCAACCAGTGCTCCTTTGGGCTCTAAGCCAGTATGTACGGTTTGTTCTGGTGGTAGCGTTGCGTAGGCAGCATACCGGACTGGAGGACTTGTGGATGGATGGGCCAAATCCAGATGGCTGACTTGGAGGCCAAAGTTGGTCGATGTGGACTGTAGATTAGGCGCGGAGGGAACGGGGAGCTGATTCGGTGTTACCAAAGTGGTAGGCTGGATGGTAACCAAATTGGTTGGCACAATCAAGCGTGGTGTGTTTGTCAACAAGATGAAATCATCTGAATGAGATAAAAGAGCAGCCGGTTCAAAGTGTTACTGACTAGTGCGACGATAAAGAAGTTGGTGAAATTGCATGGAATAATGATAGCGCTTACAACTTAAAACTCTCCGTACATAGGTTTAGGTTATATACTTCTAGTTACAGTAAAATATTTGCTCTAGATATTGTATGATGGAGCAAAACCTAGGTGGAATGTACCTGTTAATTGCTGGGTGTTGCACAATCGCAGCTGTGTACTACCAATCGATTTCGTGTTTCTGACATTCTTCAGTAGATACATCAAAGTTTAAACAATGAACAATAAGTTATCACGGAGAGAGGCAAGTGCTTGACACGTCCCGTATGATGGTTGGGATGAATACAATGAAACCAAATATATGTGGATCACCTACGGAGAGTCTACCGAGGTGAATGCTTTGATAAATAACGTCAGTATAAAATAAACAAGGGTCGAGTGTAAGCGTGCAGAAGTAGTTTCTCGATCCATGGATTTGTGGTGCGTTGCAATGGAAAAAGGGGTGCAACAAATGTATTAATCCCAACGGATTACTCCCATCGAACAAAGCTGTTTGCTTATGAGTAGAAGGATGCTGGTGTTATTTTGCGTTTGCCGCAATCAGTCGACAATTCATGTAACTAAACTATCAATTCAGAAAAAGCACCGGACAGCCGTTTCACCTTAAAGTCGTGTCAACTTCACCCTTTTGCATTTTGCAGGTTCTGTTGGCGTCACCGGTTCAGTTTCCTTAGCAAAGTGCATACTGTGATGCCAAACGGAGTAGGCTGTCAATGCTGATGACGAACTCAGCAACACAAGTGCGTCGGACTCTGGCAGCGGTTAAAAGTGGCCACTGTGTCACCCTAGCCTAAACTGGAAGTGGGAAAATGTCGGGTGTTAACTGCCCGCATATTTGTAGGTAATCATGAAGTAGAGATGTCAGAATTTCAAGTTTAACCCCCGACGTAGAGATTATTGACTAAAGCTCTTAATCCTACAAAACCGAGCCGCGGCGAGCAACGCTTTGCACAATGTTTATGGCTCATTGGAAGGAGCATTGTGCACCAGTCGTTATGCGAATACCTTGGGACGTACAATCCGCATATCAATTACGATGCATATTACAGATAACTTAAACCAAATCGGTCAGTTGGACCTCATCTGTAGCAGACAAAATAAGTCTTAGTAGGATTCGGAAAATGGTACGATGTTGACATGGTACTCTTGCAATGTCCTACCAAATTCCGGATAACCGTTGTCATGCACATAGTCTACAGCTAGTGCTCAACCCCAGTACCAACGGGATTGGTCATCAAGTAAAGCAGCCATTGTTGTGGTGCCAAAAGGTATATGGTTGTAAGTCCTGTTATTTTATCAGCGTTGTAGCTTTGAGAAGCTATATGCAAGGAGGTGACTAATGATTCGGTGGTGTCGAAGCTGATCGTTCACGCCCCCACAACCACAAGAAGCACACGATGATGAGCCAAGAATGTGTTGCAGGTATGAGAACACTGCTTCCTTACATAAAGTATAATAGTTTATGAAGCAAAGCTACTGCAGCACCTTGGAGCTAAGCAACAGCAGAGGAAAGCAAAAATAGTACGTGCGAATGAAAGTGGCAAAAATAAACCAATCAGGCGAGTTCGAGGGAACGGGATTAGCGATAATAGACCCTGAGATAGCATCCATTCTGAACGACGTAGGCCAGCCAATCGAAGCAAAGGAACGCTGCGTTTAAACAAATGTCAAGGAACAAAGGAAGGCGAAACAAAAGTAGGCGACTAAATTAGTAGCAAAATATATATATTCCTTGAACACCAAACACTCCCACTTCTGGAAAGTTAGTTACGTGAGGGATGTGTAACATCTTCGTCGGGGGTCCACTGAGAATGGCTGAACAAATCGTCTTCTTTTCGGTCTCCCTGTGTTCCATTTCCTGAATTTTCCGAAGGCTGTGTATATTGTCCGGTGAAATCCATCGGTTTACCGTTGTCCGGTATTTCAGTAAAATCAAGTTCGTTTCTGTAAAAGGTTACTGTGTTCTATGTAGCGCGGACGCATTCGATTGGCATGGCGGATTCACACCTGCGTACCGATACGATCTATCACATCCCCGGACGACGGCGCCGTTCGACGAGTCCAAGTCTCCATTTGATCCTGTTCACCTACTGAGCGACAACAAACACCTGGGCTCCAACTTTAAAACCCCTGCGCCGCGCTCCACTCCGCCTATTGTACTGGGTTTCCAGTACTGGATTCGAACGGCGCATCAGTTGCAGTTTAGAGGTCAGTAAAGCCAAAGTTGTTCTTAGTCTTCAGCCCATAAGTGTGTTCGAAAGCGACTTCCCATCTGGCGCATTTGAATTTGCAGCAACTCGATAATTCAGTAAGAAAGCCTCGAATGATCCTACACAATTCGATCGCAAAGGTGCTTATTTCACGGTATCCACAAATCGCTCAACCTGTCCATTAGATGGCGGATGATATGGTGTAGCCTTCAGGTGTTTGATTCCATGGTTTGCACAAAACAGCAAACTGATGAGAAGTGAATTGCGGCCCGTTATCCGACACATTGGTTTCTGGTAGACCATGCTGGCTGAAAATGTGTCGCAATGCGTGTAGTGTACTGGTTGCTGATGTGTTCTACATTATGGTTACTTCCGGCCACTTGCTATAGGTATTGACAATGATAAGGAAAAAGACTTCAACCGGTCCCGCAAAATCCACATGGTAGTATCTCGAAAAAGCAGCACACCAAAGCAGCACCAGCACGTGTGTATGGAAAAATACTGTTCGCACGTACGCGCTTTACAAGTAAATTGACAGACATTCGAATTGCAATTAATCAAATTCAAGTTCACATGACTGGCCAACCAGTGCTAAGTAGAAGTGTGAGTAAGATAAGCGAATCGAGGGCAGAAACTAAGCAAATTATTTGCACACGACCTTGTCCCCTCCGTTGTTCATGAAAATATAGGCACTACACGTTGATGAACGATTTAATAGATGTCAGCACCTGAAGAATTGCCATGTGGTTTTACCCGTTAAAACGTGTCGGTAGACAGAGTGGCGTATCCGACTGGAACGTCATAGGTTTGTATTAGTTTGTACCGAGCGATGTGTTGTAGGTGTGTTCGTCTGTTCAATAGCACGTTGGGAAAGCGCTCTAGGTAGCCGTCTTGCATTCGCCTTTGTCCCATTAGCCAACTTGGCAGTTTCTGGCTTACACATAGACTCCACACGGGTCGGGGGGTCCGAAGATATTACTTTCTTTCCGGGAATAGGGTAGTCGCACATGAATAAATGTCCCTAGAGGATAAGTTCTCCCAAGGCGTCCATATTTAGCTTGGTAAACAGCCCGTTTTTCGTATTCACTGTGACCGGCGGTTTCTTCGGATGTAAAGCCTACATTTAATCGCGTTCGGATGGTTCGCCCAGGCATTAGCTCTGATGGGGTCGTTGCCGTTGCAGTATGTAGAGTGGTTCTGTATACCTCCAATGCAGATACCAACGCATCATCCTAGGATTCTCCGGAAATTCGAAGGACTTGTGAGGAATTTTCACAGTACGATTAAAGCTTTCGACGAGTCCATTCGCTGCAGGATTATAAGCTCTAGTCCTCGTGTGTGTGATATCACTGCGTCTTAGGAATTCAGCATACTTGTTACTTCGAAACTGTGGGCCATTCTCAGTGACTATTTCTTCTGGCAAACCGTACCTTCCAAACAAACAACGGAGCCACCTTATGATGACGGCTGTAGTTACTTTCCTGCATAGAATAGCCTCTGGCCATTTACTGAGGAAACAAGTAGCCACTGGTATGTTTCGCTTCTGTGGGGGTGCATTGGCAACCGGGCCCATAATATCGATGGCAATTTTTGCCCATGGCTTCATTGGGTACACGATAGGTTGAACTAGAGCATTCAAGGGCCGCGCATTCTTATCGGATTGTTGGCAGGCGTTACATTCCGGAACAACCGCCTCGACGCTAAAATTCAACTTCGGCTACCAATAGTATTACCATATCCGAGCTTTTGTTCGCACAATCCTTGGATGACCTTCATGCGCACATGCAACCACCAGAGGAAGAAGAGTTGCAGTTACCACAAACTGCTCGCCTCTAATAATGCAGTTGCTCACAGTAGAAAGCTCGTACCGTACAGGTTGGATCTTGGTACGACTGGGCCATGAAGTGGATATGTACTCTCGAAGCTTCGCTATGACAGCGTCTTTGTCAGTGTGCTCTCGTATCAGGTCAAATGTTGTTGTAGGTGTTCCGTCTGAGAGCTGCGATATCATTTTACCTCCTCTAAGTCCTCGTTTTCCCCTTCGTTGGACAGTGGGAGTCTCGACAGGGTATCTGCAAGTTGGTTAAAGCATCCTGACAAGTATTTTATTTCCTAGGCATAGTTCAATAAACGTGAGTATCGGCAATTCAAGCATACCGGCTTTTGGCCTTTGTTACCGCGACTTAGTTGGGTTGCAAGAGCAAAATGATCGGTGCGCAAAGTGAATCGACCTCCGAATAAGTAAAAGTACCATTTCTCACACGCTTAGACGCATGCGAGGAACTATATCTCACAGGTGGAATAATACCTTTCCGTATCAGACAAGCTACGCGATGCGTACGCAATCGCTTTCTCCTCGCCATCTTGAGGCTGGGACAAACCGCACCTAAACCAACATCTGAAGCATCCACTGAAACAAACGTTGAAGAGTGGGAGTGGATTCAATCACCGCGCGTATGGTCTTGGAAGCAATGTCTTGTTCAGTGGCCCAACGAAAATCCTGGTTTTGGCGCATCAACAGTCGCAAACTTCGGTAAATATCGAAGGTAATAACAACACAAACCCAAGAATGGTTTCGTATGTTTAACATTGCTTGGTTTTGGACAATCGAGAAACGCTCTGGTGTCTGCACATTAGGCTTAATACCCGCGATAGAAATAACGTCCAATAAACTCGATCTCCATTACAGCGAATTTGTATTTGCGGAGATTT